AATCGTTAAAATTTCATATTTATTTAAAAATTTATCAAATTATCCATTCCAAAAACATCCCCAGACGTTTCTCACCTGAAATCAAAACGAATTTATGACTGCACCAAATAGAATTGTCAAAATGCGATTACATTTTCAATTTGCAATAGATTGGGAGGTCGAGCTCACCTCAGTGTCGAATTGTTGCGTGATTGTTTTATGATACAATTTCGTATCTGCTTGATTGGAAATAGAAGTCAAGCTGCTGTGATATCTAATTTATGAGAATCATTTTCAAGTCTTATAAGTTATATTTAAAAGTACAGTGAGTATTAAGCTTTTGGTTTACAATTATAAAAATAAGTAAAATAAATTAAATGTAAAGTATGAAAAATAAGGGAAATCACTACAATATTGGAGATAGTAGTAGGTGGAAAAATAAAATTATTTTGGCATTCTGTTTTCGCAAGACGCACAATATGTGTCCCCCGCGGTGTTGACAAGAGCGCTCTGTCGCTCTCCCGCGACGGTCAACAGTGCGCCGCAAACAAACTACCCCATATAAAATTTATTGAGCTACCATATCGTCGATATAGGCATGGTACTTCTCTCTAGAATGGATTTCTAGTTCTAATATAAAGTCTATGAGATATGAGCATCCAATCAATGAAATCCAGAAAAAAGTGTGACTGATACCGTCTACCGTTTGGATTTCAGATTAGTAATTACGTTAGGTTAGAACTTTGATAGTTATTTTTCATGTTTTATCATTATATCGACATATTTTATTATATTTTTCTTATTATTTTGCTTATAATTAAGCTATTTTTATTAATATAGGTATTATCTGCAATGAATGACTTTAAAAAAAATACATTTCATTAATTGTAACAGTTGTAGCAATTACTCTTATGATATTAATAATACTAATTTAACTTAGAATTTACTTAGAATTTACTTTACCTCACAATATTTTACAGGCAAGTAAATAACTATAAACAAAATAAAAGAACTCCAGTAACACGAACGTTCGACTTAATTGCTCGAATCAGCGACGAGTGGCTTAGAAAGAGTGTTCTAGTGTCACGTACGATGTTTGCAGTTAAATGAAATCAGTGCGAGGCTAATTCCCAAAGCACTTGGAACCCCTTGGAATGATCGCTGCTCGCCAAATGAACCTCGTAATGTCTGCTTTTCTACTGTAATTACGCACCCATTACCGACAGTAATCTTTCTACCACTAGGAAGGGTAGAAAATCAAAAGATAACCTTATATGAAGTAAGTAAAATCCAATTTCAAAACCTCACTGAATTGCTGCCAGGGCTGATGTATTTTTTTCAAACTCGAAACAGTTCTTATTGCGTTAGCCTTAAATCTAAAATCGTTAGTCATGCGTGACAGCATACATCTTTGAACTTTTCACCAACACAATAAGGTATAAATTGCAATGACAGAAAACTCATAGAGTAGGGAGTAGCCAGAGGCCAGAAGGAGTTAATGCGTGACGCACAAAAGACCAAATCACGACCCTCCCGACGAGGCCGCGGCGTCAAAGAAGAAATTTGTATTCCAATTATGACGCCACAGACACCCGTCGATCAATATCGCTGGCCATTTTAAGTGCTCGTACGTGATAATATACAAAAACTACTCGTATTAGTTTGTGTTAAAAAATAAAATTGATTCTAAATCACTTGCTTAAGTTTTAGTTCGTATTTTTATCATAACGCCCATATCATTGATAAGGTTTCTCTATGCGAGGTAATTAGACACACTTCTGAGACTAATAATGTATCGTGACGTAAGATATCCAAGATTTTAAGACATAATATATACGCAAAAGAACAAAGGAACGACGTCCACAACGGCAATAAAATGATAATAAATGGATAATTACTCCATTCCACTGCATTACTGTGTTCTGGAGAATAGGGAAGAAGATTGCGGAGTGAAAAGAAGCATATTTGCAGCGTTATAATCCTTATCAATGAGAACTTAAGAATCATGAGAACATGTACCATCTGAGTCCAGTGAAAAGACCCTACACTATTAGCCATTTGATTGCAATTTCAGCCCCAATCTCGGATTCAATAAAGCTCACCCTGCAGATAAATTTTGACATTTCTATATATTAGGACACACAATTATTGGTCGGTAATTGCTTTTGATCGTTTTGACGATATTTTTAGATAAAATGATTCATATTTCTCGTTATAAGCGAAACTTTACTGAAATATTTTTTTCTCAATAAGAATGTTTGTCAGAATTATCTTTAATTTCTAGATTATCTTAAATGTGTTGAATATTTAGAAGAAAAGTTTAATTTTATTTCCAAATAATTATTTAGGGTGTTAGTTAAGGAATATAAGGCAGCTATGCGAAAATGTGATTATCATGTTTCAAAGTGACAATATTGTATAGCAAAGTTAAAGAAAATATGTAACTTTTTACATTTTCTCGTTCTATAATTATATATATATATATATATATATATATATATATATATATAAAACAAACTCGTGTTAGTTACACCATTTATAACTCAAGAACGGCTGGACCAATTTTTATGATATTTGATTTTTTGGATTTCTCTTAGTCCGACATAGGTTAATAAGTATTAAAACATCAGAAAAATTAACGAAAAAAATATTAAATTTTATTTGGCTAACGCTGGCTAATAACTATATATATCTATTTAAAACGTACCTAGCGACGAACTCGAGCGAAGCGAGAGTGTCATTATAATAATGACACTTCAGTACCTACTTAAACGCGTAAATTTGTAAGTGGCTTATTATTCTAACATTTCAACTGGATTACACTAGTCGTGGTCACGGCTGGTCCCGGTACTGTCATTATTATATTATATAAAAAACTGTCATTATTATATTATATAAAAAAATTAAAAATTTGAGGGAGAAACTGCTAATTGTTACGTAGCCCATGTTGAAAATTGTATTGCAAGATGATATTTTGTACAAATTGCGTTATTTTAACCTTTCCATTAGAAAAAACATGTTCCTGTGTACAAAACCGTAAGTTAGAATATTTGCACATTTTTTATATCTTTACCCCTGTTTGCTTAGTTTGTTTGATCAGCGCGGTTTGTCTTTGGGTGGGACCGATCAAACGTCAGGCAAACACTCTGTAATAACATTGTTTTATTGAGCCGCAATTAAACCTGTGTCACGTAATATATCTCGCGTGACGAAATTGGTTGCTTGTCATATATTAATAGCGTGTAAATCAAAGGTGATCTATGGGAAAACACTTTTATAAAAAAACAAGGGATATCATGATTCTTTTTCGAAGAACGTGATTCAGACCTATCATGCCAAGTCGTTTGATGTTTTTTCTTATAAAGAAATATCTGAAAAATCTTTGTTGGAATTAACGCTATATAATTTCAGCATCTTCATAGTTTTTAATTTTATTATATTTATTGTTACAAAACAATTTCTTTATGTAAATCACAAAAGAATCGCATGATAAAATGTTGCGTGGTTTCTCTGTAGTGTCTTGTGAATAGTATTCTTAGGCGCCGTTGCTTCGTGTTTACTTGAAGTCATGAATATTTACATAAACCTTATTGATTTGTTTCACGAATTGGGGAAACATACGTTTCTTTTTACTAATCCCATAGTATTTGAAAAGTATTACTTTTTACCCCGGGCAAATATCTCATTTCTGAGAAAAATACAAAAAACTGCAATGTATCTGTATATATGAGTATACTAATATGTATAACCTAAGAATTTAGTTTTTGGTCATCTGTACGCGGGCGGAGCCGCGGGAAATGCTAGTTGATGTATAAAAATGGTTATTATACAAAATTTTCAGAATGGTGACAAGCAATTTAAATATGTGGATTTTACTTTGTCTATAAGTCATGTACTACGAGTATGGTCATATAGGGAATGAAGAATTAAATATGAAATTATTAATAATCTAAATAAAATCCAAACTTTATAAGAATACATATTTGAAACTACCGTAAATAAAAACCAATAGTTAAATAGCACGGTTATAGCAAGATCGAATAATAACAATAATTAATCATAAATTCTTTATATTTATTGAAGTTTTATAAATTTAATGATATCATCGATATTACAAATATATTTATACGTATATTTATCCAATATTTGCTAAGCGCGGATGTATGGTATAAAAGCTATGATCCCTATAGTTTAGGTACATGTAATCCGACGCCGCTGGTGTCAAGAGTCACGCGGCCGGCCTTCTCGCAGCGGACACGCTCAAACACAACCCTGATGAAAATGAGAACTGACATCTGTCATGTTTTGCTAAAAGCTAAAACATCAATAGACTAACTGTTACTACCTACCTACTCTACTATCTTAGAACAATGTTTTATACAATTTTAATCTTAACAAGTAATTAGAATGCTTTGTCTTAATATTTGGAGGAAATGTCTAAAATGTACATTTTATGTTAAACCTCTTTGTTTGAATTGCCTTTTCTATATGCTCTACCCTTCAAAGAATATGTTAGGACATAACGGCTCCGCGGGCCGACGTACAAACAAATGTGCTCCCTGGGTAACTGACCGTGGACAATAAACAGTCCGAATGTTTGTCTGGGACGGCCTTGCAAATGTATGAAAGAAAATATTTTAGTTCGTTAAACAATTGATTCTTTAAATATTGCAAGCTATATTGTAAGATTAATGTTTGAAAACGATTTATTTTTAGGCGAATAGATTAACAATATTCTTATGGAGAAGGAAGGCGAAAAAATATCACGTTCGTTTTTAACCAATTATTTTAAAATGTCTAACCTGAACGAGACTTTAGTTTTCATCAATACCTAGAGAACGATTGGGGTTAGGAGAGTACGTACAATTAGGTGGCTGAATCTCGACCTCCTAACACTAATGATTGTTAGGTGTCAGCAATGCTTTTGAAAACCATGATTCTTGGCAAGAAAGTACCTCCCATGTACGTCAAATAATTAAAAAATTGGATGATTTAAACATAAAATAAATGAAATGACTAACCTGGTTGTCGCAGATGCGTGTGAGCGTCTAACGACGATTTTGACATCGCTGACAACGAATTGCTGCCATATCCTGCGAAAAAAAGCTTTATCAAAAAAAGCTCGTTTTTAGAAATTTTAGGCTCTTTAATTTGTCTAAAATTTAACAAAGCAATATAAAATAGCATTAAACTATCTTTTAAAACGTAAAAATATGTGTCTAAATCAAATACTCGTTCATCAAAGTTTCTCGTTGTCTTTTGGCGGTTAAAAATATTTGAGTTAGATGATAATTTCTTTTAGATATTTCATACACAAATTTTTTTCCTTCAGTATCATAATACATTTATGTCTACATATAAAGAAATTCTAACAGCCGAATCTGTAGATTAAATGTTTTTTGGAAAATTTTATTGAAATAGACATTATTTTTAGAATTTTTGTCTGTCTATCTACCTGTCTATCTACCTGTCTGTCTGTCTGCCTGGGACCGTATCACGGGAAAACGACTCGAGGGACTTTGATGAAATTTGGTCTGGTGATAACTAGTTGTCCGGAATAACATATTGGATACTTTTTACTGCGGGAAAATTTCTCATCTCTGAGTAACCTATAATAAATGTTAAAACGTAAGTAAGGTTGAACCCGAGCGGAACGAGGGTGAGTAGCTAGTAAAATATTATAATAATAATGTAAAAATAAAACAAAAAAATGTGATCAGTAGTTAAATATTCATATACCTACAGGCACCGTTACATTTTTGATATTACGAACAGTGGCTTGATTATTACTTCATTTTATATTCCCTGTGTACTAAATTTCATCCAAATCTATCTAGCCGTTTCAGCATGAAGAAGTAACAATCATACATACAATATGTACGCGCATTAATTATAATAAAAGTTGTGTATGAAGTAAAAAACTTCTTTTATAGTACTATGTAGTTCTTTTTCAGAATGTCTAGAATACTACACCAGTAGCTCAAAAGCTAACTTAATTCTTAACCAAAATAATATATAGATAGTTGATTGAACAATAAATCAAAGTGTTGAAATAGCACTGGGCTTTTTGGAAGTAATTAAATGATGGCGCAAATTGTTTGATAATTAACGGGGCCACCTCATCAGCGGGCCCGGGGCGATTGAATCCGTGTAGATAATATTGCCTATTTGTACCGCCGGGGATGAACCGCCGTGAGCAGTAAACGAAATAATACGAAATAAAATGAACCTTACACCTCAGTGTTTAGATACAATTTTCAAAGGAAGTATGTAAATCGAGGATTATAGTCTCTTTGAAGCTTTCAATAGGATTTCACGCGTTGTTAGTGTTAGAGCAACATTGTGGAAACTTCTTTTGATTTCGGGTATATTTTTGATTCCATGTTCTACGCTCCTTTGATTTTTGGGGCGCTGATAGTGACATTGTTAGGGAATGTTTTCTTACTATATATAAAAAGTAGATGTATAGGATATATTAAGTACCTATACAAGAAATAAAGCTTGTCAAAGCTATGACTAAAATTATAACTTATTGGTAAGTTTACCAAGAGAAGGCCAGTACTGAAACCAAATTGTAATTCAGTGTGGGCTTACTACAAGCATATTAATATTATTTGTATTATCTAAACCAAAAAACCGTTTATTAATGAAGTAATGAATAAGTTTATTTATTAATAAAGAAGGTCTAGAATAGCATGGTGATAATTTTTTTCAATACATACGCAACATCGCTTTGTTTTTATAGCAATACATAACTTTAAGTTAGGTAGATACTACTTTGTGATAAAACAAATATTTTTAAAGTTTATTGTTTCAAAATGTTAAAATTTCTTTTTGAGTAACAAATAAGATGTACCTATACAACAAGTGTGTTCATTGCAAAGATTCAGTATGTGCCATACTATCAGTTGATTGTTAAATCAGTACGAACATACGCATAGAACATGTGTTGTATTAAATAAGTTTTTTCTAATGCATATGAATATAGGAATTATTTAGCTTAAAACCGACTAAACTATTAGAAGAAAGTTTAGTTGCAGAACTACTTAAACATTATGATTTAATATCTAAGTATGCGATATTTACGTGCAGGAGATAGTTATAGTGGACGCTTAACAAAGTGTCTTCATGACCGAAGTCACAATATATAGTATACTGACTGTGCCTTCGTTAAATTTGTTTGATTATAAGCATTAGTTTTACAATAATATATAAAATTTTGCCGGATTTGTTCACATTTATGATTACTGCTCCACTTCCTTGCTTGAAGATATACTATAGTCTATAGCCTTCCTCAATAAGCTGGCTATCTAATGCAAATTTTCAAATCGGATAATTAGTTCCTGAGATTAGCGCGTTCAAACAAATAGTCAAACTCCGCCTCTTCATAATATTAGTACAGATTTAATCTACTCTAATATTATAAACAGGTAAAGTTTTCAGTTTTTAAGTTTGTATGTAGAGGTAATCTCTGAAATGCTGATCCGATTCTCAAAATATCATTAAAACTTCTAGCACCACCGAGTGCTATTAGCATTTTATATTTCAATAAAATTCTAAACAACTTTATTTGAAATCAGAAGAAAAGTGGTAGCTGAGTTGCTTTATTGGCGTGTATCAAAATAATTAATAATTATCATTATGTTGGGACATTAACACACAGCACCATCTAGTTGCATGGTAAGCTACGAGGCTTGTGTTATGGATACTAGATAGTTGATACACTACACATATATAACTTTTAAATACATACATAATATAAATATAACCAGCCATGACTGGAGTACACACATTCGTGCTTATCACACAAATGAATGACTCCAGCGGGACTCGAGCCCGCGACCGCTGGCACAGCAAGTAGTGCCACTACAAACTGAGCCAAACGAGTCGTAAATGTACATAACTTTATTTGAAAACGGAAAATAGTGGTAGTTGAGTTGCTTTATTGGCGTGTATCAAAATGTATGACAAAATGTCAATGCAAAAAATGCACTAAAAATAAAAAAAAGGAGCTTATACAACAATAGGGTCGTTAATACTACAACATAATCCTATAATTGGTAACGTCGTTGGTTCCTGCGACCACACTTGCGGTCAAATTTGCTTAATGAATAAGTAAGGAAGATTAGACTTCTCTTTTCCGTCAACTTTGTTTTTTTATTTGTTGTAATGAATCAATCAATTTACATACGATACTAATAAGTTTTTACATAAAAGACATCAATAAAATAGCGGTGACACTTTAAACTATTCATCATATTGGTTCAATTTAAAAAAAATACTGTTATCAATCATGAAAAGACAACCTGAAACCTGCTACTTTGTTAAAATGATTTCTGCTAGAGAAATACTTGTTGCTAAAACTTATTTTATATACGGGCGATCATCACAAGGAAAGCAAGTAGGTACCTAGATAATTATCACGACACGGTTGTCTCAGTTTGTAGTGACCGTACTTGCTGTGCCAGCGCACATGGGTTCGAGTCCCGCTGGGGGCATTCATTTGTGTGATGTGTGATGGCACGAATGTTTGTACTCCAGTCATGGGTGTTTATATTTTTATAACATGTATGTATTTATAGGTTATATATGTATGTGTAGTGTATCAACTATCTGGTATCCATAACACAAGCCTCGTAGCTTACCATGGAATCAGATGGTGCTGTATGTTAATGTCTCAACATATTTATTTATTTTATTTATTATAATAAGAAAAATATGTAATCGAAATCCAAACAATATTTTACTATTCTATATCATAAAGATACCCAGACTGCACTATCCCTGTTGTTTACTCCCGTCACTATCGCCGTCGGGATCAATCATTCGAAACCTGACTCTTATTTACTTCAAATAATGACAATATAGAAGTTTCCTAGCACTTTTAAAATATATGGCAGGCATCAATGGCATTTTGTTATACGTAACTGTTAATAAAATATGAATATTACCCTTAAATTAAATTATATGAGTTCAAAAATCAGCTTTTTTATGCAAAGATAAATAGGGTAGGATTGTTTATATAATATAGTAAACATGCCAAATGTTTTATTCAATTTCTTTGCAGAAATATATTTGAGCTTAGTAACAAGCCAAGATAAATAAAGAATTTAAGCTTTTTCGTAAAAGCGATATCTGTTTTTTTTTAGTCTATTTCTATGTTGTAGAGTTCCGAGCTATGGTAAAATCGATGTAATTTGTAAGAAACAAATAAGCAGAATTTTTAAATTAATCTTCACAAATGAAAATCCGAGTTAATTAGTATGTTAAAATATAATAATTAGTATATTAAATTATTATAAAGTTGCAAACATTTTCCATATTGTAAGTTTTTGCTAAAAAGTCACTGTGAAATATCCAGTTCTGCTTTAAAGTTATGACGTTCAGAACCGCGCTTGGTATAAATAAATTTAGCTCAGAAGAAACACGATACTTAAAATAATATGGTATGTATATTACCTACACATATAACTAAAAAAAAGCTTTGCAGAGATATTTTGTTCAAAAAATTTATTAAAGTCAACCAGCCAGTAAAACGATCGAGTTTATCAAAAGATTTCATTAACAAAACCACGAATTAGCCTAAAGGGTCTCACACTTAAATTCATTATTTAGGATCAAAGGTTTATCAAAACTATCTGCAAAGCGACGAATTCCCACCCTTGCACTGATTAGTAGAACAAAGGGGTATATAACGTCACGGACACTTGAAGAGTGACTTTAAATTACAAAATAAATAAATTATTATTTATCATTTTTAATATTGAGATAGGTATATGTAAATGTATAAATATTGTATTATACTACTTGAATTTTTTTTAAATTAATTTTCTTTATTCTTTATAAAAAGAATACTATTCTTTATAAAAAGAATAAAGAAATAAGCAAAAATATAAAATCTATACATATAACAAAATTATAACTAAGCCGAATCTGTACCTACATTAAATATTTTTTGAAGAATCTTATTGAAATAGACATTATTATCGATACAGAGGCCGAATCTATAATTTTTAGAATTCCTGTAAATTTGTCTGCCTGTCTGTTACCGCGTCACGGAAAAACCACTGGAGGGATTTTGATGAAATTTGGTATGATGATAGCTGATTATTCGGATCAACATATAGAATACTTTTTACCGCGTGAAAATATCTCATTTCTGAGAAAAAAATACAAAAACTGCATTGTAAAGTATACTAATATGTATGTAAAACGTAAGAATTTGGTTTTTGGTCATCTGAACGCGGGCGGAGAGCCGCGGGCAATGCTAGTAAAAAACGAAATGTACATATACATATATAACGAACGAAAAGAATACATCCTTCTTTGAAAGTCGGCTTACGCAGCCATAGAGCAGCTATTTGTAACAGTCCTTGCTAATGTTTAAAATTTTTTGTTGTGCCTTACTTAGGTTTTTTGCATAGAACTGTTTTAGCCCAAGAGTTACATCAAGTAATTCTCTAGGAATGCTAAATTATGAATAGGTAGGTATATGTATTTAGGTACTACTAATAAAAGCTACCTAACATCATTAGATGCATAAACATTTACGTATTCAAAACATTAATAGAATATACTGTTAAGTATAAGTTTAATATAATAAAGTTTATCTTTGCAATAAATAGATTTCAAAAGCGTCAAAAACATCCTGATTTTCATTTTAAATTAAAATCAGCCGTCTAATATTATACTCTTAGAATACGTATAGCACTCGTTTTCGCTCCATGGCACGCAAAACAATAGGGCGCTTATGGTTTCCCTCGCCCAAAGCGACTTTTCCTCTTCACTCTGTCCCTCTCATACTCATGGTGGGATACGTTAAGAGGAAGGGGAACGGCGGGCAAATGCCACTCTGAGTTAATTTTCGAAGCCGCCGCTAGCTTCGTCTCCTTTCAGCGCACCCCGCTTTAAAATATCGGTTTATTTTTAAAGTCTTGCGAAATCTCTTATTCACATAGCGGAACACTTTTTTAATCTTTTCCTTTATTGCATTTATCGTTATAACGTGAACAATTGTGTTGATATTAAAATTCATATTAGAACGGCTTACTAGCGGTTTTATACAACGATATAAATATAACGTATTTATTCAATGCAAAATTCAATTTAGCATATTTTTATTATCATAAACATTAAAATACCTAATATCCTCAATGCATAGTTTTAAGAATTTAGTATTAATTCTAATGATTTCTTGTATAAAAATCATTCGAAAGTCTATTCTCAAACACTCCTAAGCGATCAAAATTGTTCAAATTCTTAAATTTAAGTATGAAGTTATCAAATGAAAGCTATTAATAAATATTCAGTAGTAAATTATTAAGGGCGTCACCTCACAAATCTCGCTTAATGAATATTATTAGTTTAAATAAAGTCATAGGTACTTTATTTATAATTCATGTCGAATAGTCGCTGGGGACTTGGTGTCGGAGGTCACAGGGGGCTATTATAATGTCCTTCTCCTTTTCGTTTTCGTTTCGGCTTTAAAGCCTATTTACTTAAAATGTAACCAAAAACATTCTATTGGTAACAATAATTAATTTACGTATAAATAATCAATTAATATACATGGAAAATGAGTTTTTAAAGCTTTTAAATGAAAATATTTTAATTTCTAATATACCTAAAACATTTATTTTACAATAACATTTTACTAAACTGATAATTTTCAGATGTAATATGAAGGTACATTTACGCCACGATTTTAATAGTTAATCTCTAAGCATTAAAATTTTAAGTTTCATAACATTATTTCGAACGACTTATATCGCATACTCTTATCGAGTGTTTTTGTAATAGTGGCTATTATAACAGCTCCCTAGGGTGAGGCTAAATCGTTTGTTACCATTGTCCGGGGGCATTAAGTCGTCACGGGCCGACGCGACGACCATCTATATGGAATACAGAACTATTATATCACATTGTTTGTTCCTCTGTCGTCACTTGCTAGTTATTAATCATAGATCAATATTAGCGTTTTAAATGTAGGAAAGTTATAAAAAAACCATGTAATGCTTATGTTACTACGAGCGACTTGTAACTGCTTCGCTCTTATGTGGTTCCTTAGGTGGTTTTTGTATTATATAGAAATAGCGCTACCTTTTGGCATTTTTTACTACTAACAATAGCCTATGTGTAAAAATAACAAGACGCCATACAAGGAAGCTTATACTTCAGGCGTATAATGTGAGCGAGCCAGTAGAGGCACGTGTCGACTACTACCGCGTTTTATTTAAAAAAAACCGATGTAAAACTACCTTATTAATATTTAGAAAAATAAATTTATGTATTAACTGATTCAATTTGTTTATAAATTGAGTTTTATTTTCATACAACATAGAGAGATCTTAATAGGTTTTTTTTATTTCAAAATTATAAGAACTCATATACTCTTTAAAATCCTAGAGACGTTGCGCGAACTGGTGACGTTTTAAAACGAAGACTTACGAGTGAACTGCGGCAACGAAGCGTGCGAAGATAATGCCTCCCTCGCTACGTATAATGATAATCATCATATTGCATCACTTACGGAAATATTGTAAGTGTCAATCAAAGAATTAAGTTTGTATTGTCGTACGGAACCCGACGCGTGGCGGTCGCACGCACGTCGATCGCTCGATTGCAACATTTTAGTGCCCCTCTGTTTTGATTTTGAGGCGTAAAAAATGTACGGTAACGAAATATAACAGCAAATATGAACACGCAAACGATTTTTTTCTAGCAATACGTAATAGTTACATTTTAATAGAACTAATTTCAGAAATAGCTTACTAAAATTTCTTTGTATGATTGTTTAATAAGTATACTGGAATTTTACGATATAAAATATTTATTTTCTTCTTTAATTTATCGGTATTAAGGTATCGGCTGTAATGTAATTCATGGCAAAGAGCGGTTACTAATGAAAATTATCTTATTTAGTTAATAAAAATCTGTTATTTTTTATTTTTATTCATACTTGATTTCAAACTCGTCTAAATTTGAATAAACATATCTGTGACAGATGAACAGATAAACAGATGAAAAAAGATTCTATTTTGTTAAAAGGGTAACAATGGAAGAAATATCCATTCATCTATCTACATGTATACTCTATAGCTACTTATATTATAGATGTGAAAGTTTAGATGTTTGGATGTTTGTTACTCCATCACGCCAGAACGGCTGAATTGATCTGGATGAAATTAAAAAAAAAGATAGATTATAGTCTGTATAGCACATACATAGACTACTTTTCTATCGAAAAATGTATGGTTCCCGTGGTATAGATTTATTTTTGTTTTTCTAGAGAAAGTATTTTTTTTTAGAAAGGTAGAATATATTATTTAAAAAAATTAACGTAATGTGTGTGTTTTTACGATTGAATGAAAATTTGTTTACTCGTATATCATCGAAAAAAAAGCTTGGCGAAATGGAACTTTGTACTTATAATATGATAAAAGCCTGAATGTTTAAAATCTGTTTATGCCAAATTCAAAGGTATACGATTCTAGTTCTTTGTGCTTCTGTATACTATTAGTAGACTAAATTAAAAAAGTGAAGCAAGTAAAATTTAATAACTACAATATATTTTTTACCTACGAGTATTTCATTACTTTTTCTTTATAATTATGCATATACCTATAGACAAAATCTTTATACTCCTGCTGTTTTGTATGCCTTCGTCTGTAATTCCTTTTTACAAAGTTGTGTTTTATATGATATAATACAAAGTCGGGTTTGTTACAACACTTATAACTCGAGAACTGCTGAACCGATTTTCATGGTTTTTAATTTGTTGCATTTTTCTCCGCCTCGCATAGTAGAATAACTATCAAAACATTGGAAAAAATCACGAAGAAAAATTCCATACTAGGCGTCAAAACGTACCAAGGGACGAACCTGAAGCGAGGGTGAGTCGCTAGTAGCTAAAAATAAAGCATATTTGACGTCGTACATATTCTATAATAATAGTCAGCATATACATTTATTAGCAACTTACCTTGTGTACCCTGTGACGTTGCATGTGTAGACCACGAACTCTTATATGACGCATCTGGAAACAGAAATTGTACTTATAATTTGAACGAAATGAATATTCTTTGTTTTTAGAACGATATATTAGCATATGTCAGAGACTTCTACTTTTTTGTCGTTTGAAATTAAATACATTTTTATAAAGAAAAATCATATCTTTTCAAAAGGAAATATTATATTTCGCTGCATAACTTTATAAATGAGAGGTATTGGGAGCCGTTATATGACCAACGTAATATGCAGTAACAAAATTGCATCTGCAATTAATGTTTATTATCATGTATTATATTATTCGGTATAAACAAACATAAAATATCTATATTTTTATTTATAAAATGAATGTTCCATTTCATTTTGAAGATACTATGTACTATATTACTTTAAGATATTAGTAACAAGTAATATATCTATAGACATTTTAATTTAGCTCTACATTAATAAAATTAAACTCTACTCTAAAGTTAATATTAAGTTAAACCTAATATTAAGTGGTTAGAAATGAGACACTGAGATCCGATGATCATAATCATAAAAACTAGTTTATTTGTTTATTTTAATAAGTCCTAGAATTACTAAACATTACAGTCATAGCATATAACACAACATTTAATGCTATGTATGTATATATTAGTGTTTTAACTAAAACCTCTTTGTTTCTCGTGGGGTGGTTTGTGATCCATGACGGAGCTACGAGCAAAGGCTGTGAGTGCCTACATTTTTCAAGGGGACTATTTTCTTTTTTACCTTATACCTCATTATGTACCTATATGAATTACTAGCAACACCCTTTATTTACCGTACAGGTGTAAAATGACAGATACATACCTACATATTATGCATACACACCTAATTTAATGTTCATGTATGTAAAATATATAATAAGTATCAGATCCGACTCAGTGCCACCTTCAGTGGTAGGTACTATATCAAGAAACTCGCTCTTAAAAATGTTTTATGTAATGTGTAATGTGTAATGTAATTACCACCGACAAAATACAAAAATTGAAAAAATAAAAATTAGGTACACCGAAGTACTTACGAATCATGTTATTTTCACTACCTTATTACATAATACTTTCTTAGATTTACGCGAATATGACAGAGACCATGTCTCTACCATGACCATGATTGATATAAAACATTCAAAACGTCCGAAACGGGCATCAAAATAAATCTGAAAAAAATCCGAAAAGATAGTTTTATTTAAAACTAGAAGAACTAGCAGAAAAGGATTCATAAAACTAACAGAAAAGATTTCATACCAACTTTCATCTCATATTTTTCCCCCTTACGGGGGGAACTTTAAAAATGCTGAAGCACGTGTTTATTTAATTGTTTTGAAGAGCATTAATACCAATTTTCATGTAACTCTGATCATACATTTTTTGGGTAGTATTATATCGAGTTTTCCGTGGAATGACGTAATCTTCCGTCTTCTCAAAATCTTCAAATATCTCCGTACAAAAAATCACGCCAGTCCGTCACTCTGTTTCGACGTGAAAGAAAGACAAACAAACAAACACACTTTCACATTTATAATATTAAAGTATGGAAGTATGGATACCTTATGACAGTCAATACTATAAAGCTCATACGCACTAGGTGACTAGACAAACGCGTCTAAGACCATCAATAGAATTGAGATATTTTTGATTGAATACCATTGAGATACTTCTGCACACTAATATAATAAATGTGAAAGAAATTTTGAATGCCTTTTCTATTTTCACGCTAAAACCGGTTTGGAAAGGATATAGATTGCAACATGGGGACGGACAAATAAGCAACCTTTAACTCCCATACCCCATACCATGTGAGCAACGCCGTGGAAACTTACTGGTATAACCTGAAGTAGTCGCTGGTGACGGTTGTTACCGCAGTCGACTAGTGCGTGGGCGAGCTAATCAATATTCATTACTAATAATAGAAATAAAATATAACATTGTACACGAAAAAAATAACTCCTCATAATATAAATGTGTGGAAGTACATACGTTTGTTAGTTTGTTCTTATTCATGCTAAAAATTATAAATTGACGGGATTTTATTGCATAGAAATACTTGGGCCAGAGATGTAAGCTACTTTTTATTCTAGTATAGGAAATTATTCCTATGGTCATCTCATCGAAGCGAGAAGAGATCTCTAAATAAAAAAATAATGCTATTACCATAAAACACTTAAACTACTATACATAATAATAGTAACAATTTCGTAGAACTTCAGTTTTTACGCGGTGTGACGCAACGAAACTTCTGTAGTAACGTTAACGACTTAAAAATAGAAAGTAAAAAAAACACTACAATTGCATGTAATGAGGACTACCGCGCTTGAATTCGCCACGAGAGGGCGCTAGTATAGAGTGAGTGACTCTAGAAATATCAAATGACACTGAATGTGCACTGTTTGCGAGCTTTTCATTCACGGATTTTCACTAATTATTCATGATTATTGTAAAGATCGTGCCATTCCTAATTAATTATGGCAGACACGGTACAGCTCAATAAATTTTATTCCTTTAAAATAAGAGTAAAGAAAAAGTCGATATTTTATTTATATGGGTATGATTAATTATTTAAAATCCTGATAGAACTATTTTCGGGCTAACAATTACCTATTATTATAATAAATTTATGACCCTGCCGCACTAGCAAAATTATACAGTTTAAACGACAACAATATGACCTTACTCCCCAGTGGCGCCAACTGGCGCCACTAGAACCGATAGGCCTCATTATACAAAAGCAAACAAGACAATGTGAATTTACTTATTAACCAATCATCAATTTCTCATATAAAATGTTGAATGTTAAAAGAGAGTACTATTTATATACCGACTCATTAAAAGGGTATTGAAATCGTATCGAATAAGAATTTCACATTTAATAAAATTGGCCAAGGGCGACATATACCCATACAGGAGGGCTTCTTACGTTGATAAATTTAATAGTTAGCTCTTTCTCGAGGCTTCGTATCAGGCAAAGCAAAGATCTTATTATCTATTATACTAGACTAATTATCCCCCCAAAATTGATGATGATGATGTTCTAATGACCGAGTCCGGCCACGGCGGCCAATCTCATTGAGACGAGCCAACTGCGCAGGAGATATTATAGTGCACAAGTGTACGCGCAGACACAGGTGCACTCTCCATTCTTGTCACTCTCATACTCCGGTGGGACGACCACTCGACACGACCAGTGAGAGTTAAGGCGCAGGACCGACTGCTTTATGGGCTCTCCGAAGCACGGGTGTGAAACACCGCCAACTTCCCAACTCCGGGCTGTTCCTGAGGCTTACTATACAGAAAGACTCAATAACTAAACTTGGCCCGGCCTGGGACTCAAACCCAGGACCTCCGGATGTGCAGCCGTACATGCTAGCCACTACACCACGGAGCGCCCTCAAAATTATGATTTATCACACTTATTATATTATGACTTATCAAAGTGCATTTGGAGAAAATAAGTTATGAGAGACGGGCAAACAGAAAGACACAAATCGTAATGGCTCTGTATTTGCGGATTAGAGTATTTGTATGAACGGAACTCTAACAAAAATAATAATTTTTACATCTTCGTATGCTCAAGACTATGGAAGTTGCAATAAATATTCTTGTTTGGTCTGCTTCTCCGCACATTTCGTTTTTTTTATTATATCGTATATATTTGAAATCAAATTGACCTCATTTTATTTTGCCATAATATGTTATGTACATATACATATATTTAGTTATCAAACAACACTGCATGTTTTGTAAATAAAAATACTAACAAGCACATTAAAACCCTACAACCACATTTATCCCATCAAAAATACTCAAATCTAAGCCAACTAACAAAAAAGATTAAATAAAAGCGATATTATATTTTAAACACAACAATGTGAGCTATTAAAAGACATCTTAAGTTCCTTGCGTTTGAAAGTGTGGTAAACATGATGACTGCTAAAAGGGGACGTGACGACAAGAGACAGTGATTAAAGGATTGAACACGAAGAAGCTATTCTGCCGCCATTAAGCTCTTTGGAAGCGCTATAAGCCGAAAAGATGTTGAGTGGCGTCATTAAGAAGCAAGTTGTCAATGGGCCTATTAGAGGCTATTGTTATGTAATTAACACATCTGTATTTCATAGATTTTATAAGTAGTATGCTTATATTTTGGAGTAATTTAACATATTTGTAGTCGAAGGTTTGTTGCTGTGATATGATGCTTTGTTTAGTACTCGGTAGATAGCGGGTTTGATTAAAATCATGAATGTACTTTTTAAGTGAAAAATCTATACTATAATAAAGCATTACTTAGAAAAACTATAGATCGAATAGACCCCAAAACAATAGTTACAATTTTTTTGTCTATTTGTCTGTATGTCTGTTTGTGTCTGTGCGCTTCACGCATATATTAATGAACCGATTTCATCGAAACTTGGTGAAGTGATAACTTATTACTCGGGTCAACATCTAAGATACCTTTTACTTCAGGAAAATCTTTCTTTCCCACGGGAATACACAATAACTGGTTTTATATTTTTCATTCCCACGGGAAAATACGATAACTGGTTCTGTCGAGTCGTCCTTAGAAATTTATATGGCTAACGGCTAAACCGTAAGAGATACATCAAAACAATGTTCTACAAAATTATAGGTCTTAAAAAGGTCTACAGAAAAGTCCACAATAACAGGTATATGTCTATCTCCTAAAGTCCACTCGCGTTATCTATCTATACTAATATTATAAAGAGGTAAAGTTTGTGAGGTTGTTACGTTGTAGGGGGTAATCTGTGGATCTATGGAACCGATTTAGATGAAATTTGGTAAGAAGATATTTTGAGACCCTGGAAACGCCATAGGATACTTTTTATCCTGGAAATCATCCCTTAAGGGGGTGAAAATGGGGATGAAAGTTTGTAAGGCTATCAAGCTAGGGACGAACCCGAACGGAGCGAGGGTGAGTTGCTAGTATTAAGTAGTATACTATATAGTAGTGCATTTTCACGATTTATATTATTAAATACCTAGAATCAATGTTAATATTAAAAATTATTGCTATATTTCGGATTGGATATTTAACTTTTAATTTAACAAGTTAACTCGTGGACAAGAGACCTTTTATTAAGATAAACAAATGATATTGTTTAAAAATTATCTTAAAAATAGAATTTTACTAAACAAAAATACAATATTGTGTTCTCTATTAAACTTGAAATCATCGAAAAACTATTAAACTTACATTTATTTGTACCTAAATACATTTATTTTAAATTTTACTAACAAACATAGACTCAATAATTTTATAAAGTCTTAACAAAACGTAAAATTACAATAATAAGTTTGATTATATATATTGTACCGTACTTTTAATTTATTTTTGTTGATTTTAATTATTATACCTACCCCCATAAAAAGTATCCTATGTGATTTAGGTAAAGAATTTTTCAGATACGTTCGACTGTTTACGCGTAACTGCGTGCACTTGAGAAATAATTATATTTTTGCAATGTCTAAATCTCGACAAGTTTAAATTCAAGTATAGTTATTGCTACACAAAAATAAATAATTAAAATCGATTAAGCCATTTAGGAAGAGAAGAATTGGACGCACAGACGCCAGAATTTTGAAGAAAACACGAATGGAGTTATAATAGTTTAATTTAAAAGGCGATATTTTTTATCGATATATCTAATGTGATAGATACAAAAGTATATTTATATTTTAATCCTTCTTTCTCACAGCACCGGTGGTGACAAGCTTATCTCAGAAGGGCTACATTTTATTCCGGCGCATCTTATAATGATAGCCTATTATTATATGTATGTATATATTATATCTATTCAGCTCTTTTTTAACCTCCCACTTCTAGGCACGGGCCTCCCTACAATACGTGGAGGATCACCGCGCTCGCCAAGTGCAGGTTGGCGGACTTCACGTGTCTTTCGAAAACTTGCTAGATTTTCTCAGACATGTAGATTCCCTCACGATGTTTTCCTTCACCGTAAGGCAAGTGGTAATCAAGTTAGAAATGATTCGCACATGAAAATATCAGAGGTGCGAGACTCGGGATTTGAACCCGCATCATTCGGTTTCCGGGCTACCGCTGCCCATGTAGCGATTAATAAAAAGTTATAAAAGATTTAACGAATCAACCATTTTTAATATTTTTATAATGTTTATTATGTCTATAATAATTATATACTTTTAGTGAAATTTATTATTATATCGGAATTATTATGCTAGTGTATTTTCTCGTAGGTCATAGTGTGATAAGATAGAATATGTCGTAAATAAAACGCAAAAATAAATTTTCTAATCGCTCTAGTAGATGCAGAGATTAACGTGTTCGAACAAACAAAAAAGCTCTTCAGCTTTACATATATATATAGATTATAATAGGATATTTTAGACTTAAATGTAGTATTAAGTAATAACAAGAATCAATGAAAAAGTTTAAAAAACACCCCCAACACTATAACTTATTCATTTAAGCCATTTCAAGCCTACTCACGATATCTATGCAGTAATTTAGTAAAGAATTGAGTGATTTTGCAAATTCCAAGTGACGTTGCAGAATCACCTGGCCAAGGTTGGCCTAGCTTGCCAAGGTTGCCATATGTTTGCATGTCATTGAAGTAACGGGATACCAAATTTCGAATAGATTAGATCTGTGAAAGTTGCTCATATCTTTTTACCGTCTAGAAAAGAGCTGATAGCTTGCTTACGGCTGCACGGATTATCTTAATTTAGTATAGCTGAGAACACTCTCAATCAAGTTACCTACCTTTCAAATTAAAAAAAAAAATAAATTTAAATCGGTATATCCGTTTGGACGCTGCGATGTCACAGACAGAAACACACGGTAATACAAATACACACGTTAAACTTATAACACCCCTCTTTAGCGTCGGGGGTTAAAAATATTAACTTTTACTGTTTTTACTTTAAGACAGAAAAAACTCAAGACGATTCAAATAAAAAAAACTCGAAAGAAACTGAATTGACTTTGAATGAATGCTTTAAGATGAATCGCGGGACGATACTAAGGATTCGTAATTGACATGTAAATTATTCACTAGTAGAGCGCGTTTATATCTTTTAGATAAGAGAAATGAATAAGAAACTTTTGCAGTATTTTAAAGCAGTATTATTAAAAAATGTTATTAGTTACTAGAAATACTATAAATAATATATGTATCTTATCGTCTATATACCTATACTAGAGTATAAATAAATATTTAACTAAATAAAAAAATCTTAGAAATTAACTTTTGTTGTTTTTGGTTATGTGCCCAAACCCTGGAAGAGAGGTGAAGATAATTTTCATGCCCAAACCCGGTAAGCCTGATTACTCGGGTACAAAGTTCTACGGCCCAATCAGTCTCACATCTTTCCTGCTAAAAACTATGGAAAGACTCTGTGACAGACATCTGAGACACAACGCACTGGCACAATTATAATATTTATTAGTAATTATAAAAACTTAAAATTTATGGCACACAACAATAGAAAGAAAAGTTTTAAAATTACTCTGCATATTAAAAAAACAATTAATGAAAACTTTATTAAGAGATAAAACTTATCCTTATCATAGCATAAACTATTTTTTATCATCAATCATTTACCATCACATTGACATAACATCATGTACCTAAGCCAGTTACCTATATCTAGACCCATAGAGTCTAACATCAAAATAACCAAAATAATGAATTGAACAACTTTGTGCACTAATCACTACGGTCAAATAGACTCATTCAAGGACGATGACGTACTTACGCAGCTTAAAATAACAAAAAATAGATAATAATCCTAACAAAACCCCGAACACAAACCCCCACTTCACCACAATCACAAATAAAATGGTATATTCACCAGCAAACAGCATAGAGAAGTTGGTAAATGTGCCCGACCGACTGAGGTAGTCGGCGGATCCTTTGATGTCGAGCATGGCGCGGTTAAAACGTGGCCATCGTGTTGAGACGTGCGTCACACATGGCGCTACCGATACTCTCACAGCTCTACCGCTGAAGAACCTAACTGTCGTAGGCGGGGCTTCCCCTAACACCGCCTAGTAACGCCCCTCGCACCCTTGCTATACGCCTCGCCAATAGCGAAACACTCCGGCTAATCTTTATCAGAGAAAAATAAACAGGGAGGGAGATAATGACGAGGTGCTTCTACGGCGCTGGTAATCACTACGCTTTGTGGGCCGCGACAGCCTGTTAGCGAGCTTATCCGACGATGGTTTGGCGAAAATTGAATGCTTTGTGTCGCTTTCAGTTCTTTTTTACTCGCGATATTGCGCGTTGCGACAGAAGAATATCAAGTCACGCTTATAGTTTGCAATGAGGTACCTACGTGTTAAATTGAACTTCATAAAAAATATTATAGTAATGTACTATTTAGCTCAAATAATCTTGTCACTTGATAGGTACTTTATAAAAAAAAATATCAGATTCAATCATTATAGTACCACGATTTCTTAGAAATCATAAAATTTTAATGAAAATTGTTTCCATTTAATCTATCTAATCGAGTCGAATCTGTACATTAAATAATTCTTGCAAAATCTTATTGAAATAAAATATATAAAATCTTGCAAAATATTATCGATACATAGGCCGAATCTATAGTTTTTAGAATGTTTGTCTTACTGCGGGAAAATATCTCATCTTTTTTTTGTAATTAAAAATGGCCTTACTCTTGACCTTCATCTTAGCTTGAAGGCATAGATAAGGTCTATGATCTAGCGAGTTTGCCCAGGAGAAGCCTGTTGATACGCACCTTACAAAGTTTCAGGTTGTACGCTCTCGGAAAAACAGACGCAGTCAAAAAGTCTCCGATAAATCTGTACAAAACATTAAAACGTAACTGGGGATGAACCCAAGCGGAGCGAGGGTGGGTCGCTAGTATAAAAATATATTACTGTGAGAAAATGAAGTTATGACTGGTTAGTCATTTTTAACCCCCGACGCAAATAGAGGTGTGTTATAAGTTTGACGTCGATATCTGTCTCTGTGTGTCTGTCTGTATGTCTGTCTGTGGCATCGTAGCTCTCAAACGGATGGACCGATTTCGATGCGGTTTTTTCATTTAAAAGCCAGTTTCCTTGCGGTGGTTCTTAGCTATGTTTGGTTAATATCCGTCCAGCAGTACGAGAGTATCAGCTCTTTTCCAAAATGATATAACTAATTTGCATAGGAGGTTTTTTAATTTATAATAAATATATTATCTTATTACAAGTAGCGATTTTCTCTCAAATTCTCTGGTGCTTTACTTCATTGTTTTATAATTAAGTAGCTAAGTCTACTTAATGCTCTAGCATTTTTCAAAGTTCTTGTAACGAAAAGATACAATATTTTAAAGCTATTATAAGAAAAAAACGATAAAAATTGAAAGCTATACTTCAAACTTAACTGCAGCGCAAAAACATATACAAAATACACCACAGACAAACAACTCAATTAGAGGTTATTTCACAATGTCGGAAAATCATCCAAATATTAAAATTATTGACTTTTTAAGAATTCCGGGCCAAATTCACCGTTTACGCGCGTATTGTTTTTATTCTTTTTAATTCCATCCTATTTGAGCAGTGGAACAATAACGGCGGCGGAATTGTGTACGTTTTATTTTTTATAAATTGCGCCACTGGCCCCTATCTTGATGATTGTCCATATAATTGGTTGAATTTAGACATATTGTTTGTTTTTACCTTTTCATGTCGAAATGTGAATTTTATATTTTCATTTCATGGTTAATTAAGATGTGATCAATGACCAAAATATATTCTTATTAGATTTTTTTTTCTTATTATGTTTTGAATTTATATGTAGAAACGACATAATGTAAGAAACGCTTGTATCAAGCAATATGAATATAATTTTTATTACAATTTACACGCTTTCGCACTCCACTTGGCACAAATTTTTTTTTCAATAATCTTACCCATTGTAATATCTCTAAATTCTAATATAATATAGGTACCTACAATAAAAACTTTTCTTATAACATAAAAATTGATATAGGTATGTCTCTCAAAGATAATGTAGCCATCTATTAGTAAAACATTTACTCTATATCAGATCAGTAGTTTAGGAGTTACATACAGTTACAGGAGACATTTAGAACAAACGCATCATTTGTAGAGTTAGAATTAGACTTACGTTTGGGGTTATGTTTTAGGTGAGGTAAATGTATTAGAGTTTAGAAAAGAATGATCGTATTATAGATATATTACAGATTCTTATTGTGAGTAGCAATGCCATGTATATATTTTAAATTAGGTAGAATATTATGCCATTAATTGTGCCGTAAAATTAAAACCAGTTCGACTGCCATGAAAATGAATGTACTTTTCATCATTATATAAACAAACAATATACATACATATCAATATATTATATATTTGATTGCATTTCAAACATCCCTTAGTGAAAAATGAAACAGAATATTCAATGTTAACCTTAAAAAAATGTATAAAGTAAGAATAGGTATATTTTATAATATATGAAGAGCTCGTCAATAACCCATTGATCTGAACACGCGTACATATAACGTTTAGAAGCTCAGTCACGTAGCCACGCAGATAAGGTTACAAAACCTCGTAAACTTCAAGTCCCCCTTACGGTGTTTGCATGGCGCTTAATACAAACCATTACAAGCTTTATTTATCGCTATTATCGAGATATAAATGCTGTGTAGAGATATCACTTGTTATTATTAATTTATGGGAATTAAACTTTAAATGATTAAAATAAGATAATTCTAGAAATAATTTAGGTATTTATTTAGAAAAATGCAAGTGCCTGAGCTACTTAAGTGCAAAAGACACTAAAAGCATAAGGTTGCAATGTGTGATGAGGTATAGTGCATTGTAAAAATCGAGTAGTTATAATTAGTGAATCATATGAAATGATTTTTAAATATAAAATTATGTTATAGTTATTTCTATGTAAGTGATACTAATATAGAAATAACATTTACATTAAAAGGTATAGGTATCAATATTCCAAAAAAAACCGACGAATTGAGAACCTTCTCCTTTTTGGAAGTCGGTTATAAAGTACCTAAGAAGTCGTATATATTAATATTCTTCATTTTAAATTAGTGAAGTTAAAATATACGAATGTCGAGTAGGTATACTCGACACTCGTATATTTTAACTTAAATCTTACTTAAATCAATATGAACCTCAATAGAATAGGTCAAGTCGATAGAGACAGACGAAACGAAATAACCTCTCCAGTTTCTAATCAAACTGCAGTAAATAAATATTAAAGTAGAAAGCTGTCGCAAAACGAAAAAATACCACCTTAGTTTTCTGAAGCAATGAAATGCCGTTTTAATGAAAATCTTTGACAGTTCATTCCAGCTTGTGACCAAAGCCTTTGATACACATTGATTGAAATTCGAAACTAGTTTTTACCCAACTACGACAAATAAAAAGGCCGGGTTACGATTTTGATCGGTATGTACGATATGTTCATCTGTTCCCTTCTAACTTCTGAACTATTTATCACAATTTAACAAATGAGGTATCGTTGGAAGCGTCTTGATCATCCGCTCGTTATAGGCCTTGTGACGACACATTTTACGCCCTAGAGGGCAAAAAACCATGACCTAAAAAAAATACCTACCCTAACACAACAAAACATTCTAACAGTTATATATGCGGCAAAATGGCATACGACCACTATCTCTATCTATCTATCCTCTGAACATCACTATGAATATGACGTATTAAATACATTAAAATATATTACATCTAAGTTATTTATTAAATAGACGATAAATATTGAATAGTTAGAACATAACAATTTCAGATGAGAATATTTTCTTGTTTCATACATTTTAGAGAGTAATTTTTCAGTGGTCGGGTTTTATTTTTTGAACTTACTTTTTATATTATGTTTGTAGAAGATCCAATAAAACGTTCATGTTGATAGACGAACTAGGAGTACATGTTTTTTTGTAGTTTAGTAAAAAAAAAGAAAATTTTAATAAAATTGTTACCTAATTAACTTTTCGTTGAAAAGTGATTGTAAGTGATTTGTGGTCACCTTGTGATGGTAGGTAGGTTTACGTAGGTCTGGTAATTCAGGGTTGAATTAGCTATCTTCTTCTGACGTTTGAAGAAGACTATCTTTATATAAAAGTAATCTTAAGTTGTCTGCCCTCATAGCAAAAAAAACTGGTAGATTGTGAGGATGTCAATGTATTGAAAAACTATAAAAATTATTCATTTATTCAACATCGGACGAATCGAGAGAGAGAGAGATGTATGGTCTGCCAGGGTGTGCCAGCTGGCAGTGTCGTGGTAAAATACGAAAGTGATCTTGCACCGCTTTATTAAGCAGGTCAAAGTATAGCTGGATTAAGGATTTAAATGGCTTTCCTAGGTAACAGGTTGCCACATTCCTATATATAGACATGTGGTAAACGTAATACATTTCAAAAATATTATAAATTTCTAAGCAAAAATGAAGATGTAAGAAACTTTTGCTGCCAACAAAAATGTTAATGAATTAATAATCCATTAAGTAATCATTGAATCAACATTTTATTATATTTTTACAAAACGATTACTGTTCTTGCATATTCTTCATATATATCTATAACATATGTTTGTTTATAACATATACATATTACGTACTTAGATAAGTTCTTATTTCAAAAATAGTCTGGATCGAACAATTACAACTGATGAGTAAAAAAGTATATATCACTACACCTGGGCAAGGCCAGGGCATTTAACTAGTTAATGGTGACAAAATGTAAATACATTTAAAACTTCGGTCTCCTCGAGCAAATAATATGCGTATGTGTGGGTACATGTCTACTAGTGTCTAGTTTGTATGGGTGAGTGCCGGCATGATCGATGCAGTAGCGACGTTGCCGCGCCGCACACTTCCGCTGTGTTGCCGCTTACAGCAAAGGTCGCAATGA